CCAGAAGTGGTGCTCCTGGAGCCCAAGAAAGGGACTGGGTTGCTCTGGGTGAGAAGGGTCAGGAAGCAGTATTGGTTCCCCAGTTGTCTGGGGCCCCAAGACTAGGAATGGCACAGGGCCCAAACTAGGAGTATAGAACAGCGAGGGGTTGGGTGGAAGGGTGAATGTTGCTTAGGGAGTCCCGGCACGGAGAGCTGCGCTATAGACTTACCCCAAGAGGCCTGAGGATAGTCCTGAACATTCTTTTGTGAACATTTTGATGGAAGTTTTGAATGGATATATATCCCTTTGAGTCTCTTGGTTGAATATTTAGGTGTAGATTTGCTGGGTCCTATATTAACTCTATTTAACTTTTCAAGGACTATCAAAGTTTTCCACAGAGGCCGTTCTGCATCCCCACCAGCTGTGTATGACAATTTCAATTTCTCTTTACCCTCGTCAACACTTGTCAGTTTTCATTTTAAGAATCCCATAGCCACCCTGGTGAAGAGGTATCACAGTGTAGTTTTACTTCTATTTCTTGGACATGTAAGGATGACAAGCATCCTCTCATGTGCCTCCTGTCCTTTGTACAGAGGCTGTGCTAACCTTCTCTGTATTGTTTCAATTTGAATACATGTGCTGCTGAAGGGAGCACTGAATCTTGCATACATTTAGAGAAAGTCCTTTCCAAATTATTCACCTATTTTTGTTGGGTTATTTGATCTTGTTACTGAATTGTTGTATTCTTTTATATTTGAGATACTAGATTTGCATTTGATAGATGATTTACAATTTTTTTTTCAATTCTGTAGGTTCCTATTTGGTATTAGGTTTTTGGTCATATCCTTATCCTTATAATCATTTATCTTTTTTTGGTCTTTTTGAGACATGGTCACCTTGTAGCCCCAGCTGGCCTAGACTTACTATGGAGACCAGGAGACCAGGCTTGCCTGGCCACTGATGTTTGCCTGCCACTGCCACTCAAGTGCTGGGATTGAAAGCATCAACCACCATGCCCGACCCATTTTATAACCTTTTAAATTGGGTTGCTGTACTTTTATTCATATGTAAGAAACCACTGCGTAACCCAGTTTGTATTCTGTTTAGAGTTTTGTGGTTTTAGTTTTGATATTTGCATTTTGTTTTTAATCTCTGTGTGTATGAATGTGGTAGTCAGAAGACCACCTCAGGTGTCCTCACCTTCTACCTGTTGCTGTTTGCTGTGCATAACAGGCTAGCTGGCTAATAGACTTCCTGGGATCCTTCTGTCTCTGCCTCACATCTTGCTTAGGAGTGCCATGGTTACAGACATGTGCTGAAGCATCCAGCTTTATATGGGTTCTGTGGATCCAAACTCAGTCATTCTTGCATGGCCAGAGCTTTATTCATTGAGCCAACTCCTTAGGCCACATTTGAATCTTTGATCTGTCTTTGATCAATTTTTATCTGTGGTGTGAAGTCAACATCACAAATGTTAGTTTTTAAAAAATCCTCTTTAGAATGAGATGAAAAAAAGCAGAGCTGAAGACCTTTTTAACTAAGGCATTTATCCTTCCCTTAGATAGAACACTGTGACTTGGGACTCACTGCTTGTACTGTCTTTTGCCTGAGCCTCTCTTCTGCAGATCCTTTTCTATCTGCTTCTTCTCATTACATTTACTAGAGTGTTATCCTCTAATCTTTCTTGATAGAGTAGGTACTCCTTTTATGGACCATGCAGTGAAGTCTTTGCCGTTGAATGGATCTAGTTAATGTATTTGTTTGCTACTTATTGCATTTCACTAGATATAAGCTTCATGACTGTGCACACATGCGTGCGTGCATACACACACACACACACACACACACACACACACACAAAGTAAATGTAAAAAAATTTCCATAAAAGGAATGGTGTAACCAGGGGGTTTTGCATTTCTCTGGTCATTTCTTAGAAATAAGGCAACCTCAGACCCAAAGGAATGGTAATTTGTTGCTGTATGACTGCTTCAAGATGTGATGTTAATTTAATTATGGACATGGCCAGTAACTTCAGTCAAGCAGTATTTAGTTAATGTTCACTGCATGTAAGATATTGCTAGATGCTGAGGCTTGTGAGAAGATATGTTATCAAAACAAAGTTATATAATATATATCTTTATTAAATCTAAAATAAAACAGTATAAAATGCAGAAGTCATCAGTAAACTAATTCAGAAGATTGATTTTAAGATCAGAATTCCTGGATTCAAAGTCTATGCCAGATCTCAGCTCTTAGGCCTCATTAAGTGGCTGGGATCCTTGCCCACCCCAGATCCATATGCTGCCTGACCCTTACTGTGGTTAGTTCCCATCACCAACTCAGCTCTCAAGCCTGTTTGGGTCTCCCAGACCTACATGCTCCTCTAGACCTGTGGTCTTGTGTTCCCCTTCCTGAGACTTCCCAGCACTCACCATCTCAGCTCTCAGGCCTTCTAGATTGCTAGGTCCTGTGTGCATGAGGCCTGAGAGCTCTCCCAGCCTAATCTATCAGCCAATCTGTTTACTTATTACTCACCCAGCCCACTAAGCTGATCCAGGACCATGGGAGTCAATCCTGGAACCTCAACTCAAAAGTTGTACCTATCTCTACCTGAACTTCGATGATTTCTTATGCCCCACTTGCACATGAACATAAAGTTGTTCCAATACTGAACACCAAGCCTTACTCAGGTGGCCCATAACCTGAGGAGTTGAGGAAGCAGTAAGCAAAGAGACAAACATTTAACAAAGACGAGATCACCTATCCATACCAAGAAATACCACCACACAAGTTCAGATGCCTAGGTTTCATTGAGAAAACAAAAGCTACATGAACAATCAAGATCATATGTCTCCTTCAGAAATTAGCACCCCGTCATGTTTCCTGAGAATGGTGACCTAGGTGATGCACAAGACAATTATTTCAAAATAGCAATCATACATTTCAAGGATCTCAAAGAGGGTATGAATAAAGGACTGAATGAAGACTGTGGAAACATAAACAGTTGAAGGAAAAAAAACAGTTCAAAATATAAAATTAGAATTCAATAAAAAGACAGACTCTCTGAAGAAAAACCAGAGATAAAACTTGAATTAAAAACTCACAATTCAAATAAAAATATTAGCAGAAAGAAGCAAAAGGGAAGTGGATGAAACAGAAGAGAATATCAGATCTTGGAGGCAGTGTTGGGGAAGTGGATTCTCAATAAAAGAAAACATCAAATCTAAAATAACTCAGGAGTAGAATATGCAAGAGCTCTGGGACACAGTAAAAAGACCAAACCTGTGAATTGTGTGGAAGGAGAAGAAACTCAGGTCAAAGGCACAGAAAGTATTTTTAATAATATTATAGAAGAAAATTTCCAAAATCTAGGGAAAGAGATACCCATCCAGCTACAAGAGGCATGCTGAACACCAAGTAGACAGAACCAGAAAAGAAACTCCCCACATCATATAATAGTCAAAATACTAAATGAACAGAACAAAGAAAAGCTATAGAAAGTTGTAAGATCAAATCACATATAAAGTCAAGCCTATCAGAATAACAGCTGACTTTTCAGTGGAGACTATAAAAGCTAGAAAAGCTTGGACTCATATTCTACAAGTCATGAAAGAACCCATTTCCAGCCCAGACTACTATACCCAGCAAAACTATCAGTTGTAATCAAAGGAGAAATAACTTTCCATAATAAAAAGAAATTTAAGGAATTTATGTCCATGAAAATTCAGCTCTACAGAGACTACATGATGGAATACTTCAGTCTGAAGAGAAGATTAAACACTCTCAAGAGGGCATGAAAAACAGTTAACCAAAAGTGGTCTAAGGAAACAACACTACAGCACCAATGTAACAGGAATTAATAAACATTGGTCAATCATAACTCTGAATTATTATGATCTCAACTCCCCAGTAAAAAGACACAGACTAACTGATTTGATTAGAAAATAGGATCCATAGATTTGTTGCCTTTAAGAAACATATCTCAACATCAATGATCGATACCTCCTTAGTATATAAGGATGGAAAAAGCTATCCCAAGCATATGGAATTAAGAAGCAAGCGGGTATAACTATTTTAATATCTGAAAAAATATACTTTAAAACTAATCAGAAGACAAAGGGAAGGTCGCTTTATACTTAGTAAAGGAAAAATGTACCAAGAAGATGTTACAATCCTAAACATATAGGTAACCACACACCAGGGGACTCATTCTCATTAAAGAAAGCCTATCGAATCTAAAATCATACATTGACTCAAATACAGTAATAGTGTGTGACTTCACTATCCCACTGTCACCAATCTACAGGTCAGCCAAACCAAAACTAAACAGAGAAATCCTGTTAGCATCATAAATCGTATGGACTTTACAGACATCTATAGGACATTCCACCCAAACACCAAAGAATATACTTCCTCTCAGCAGCCCATGGAACTTTCTCCAAAATTTACCAAATATTAGATCACAAAACAAGTCTCCACACATTTGGGAAAATTGGAACAACATCCTGTTTTCTGACAGAAAATGAATAAAGCTAGATATCAACAATAATAAAAAATGGGGAAAAATACATAAATACATGGAAGCTAAACAACAAACTCCTGAATGAAAATTAGACCACAGAAGAAATACAGAGGGAAATAAAAATTTTCCTAGAACTGAATGAGAATGAAAACATACATACCAAATTTCTGAAATATCAACAGAGGACATCTAGGTGACTTCTTTGACCTAAAAGTGAGTTGTTATAATTATAACTAAATTTTGCAAAATGTACTATAAAATAACTTACCTTTATATCTTACAAATTCCTTTATAATGGAAATCCTTAGGGAAGTAGCTCAAGCAAAATTTCTAGAAACCATTTGCCCTTAGCCAAGGCCAAAGCAGTCTACCATTTTTCTTTTGTTCCTCTGTGCTGTGCCTGCTTGTTGGGGTACTTGACTGGGATCTCGCTGATTATGAGGTATGTGTTTATTCTCTATGCCCCTTGCTCTGTACTAAACTGGCTTTTGGCTAGTTACATAGTTATACCCAGGGTTTAGGACTTTGGTGCTGGTTCAGACTTTGATACTCAGCACTAACCCAAGATGGTGCAATAGGATGTTGACTGAACTGGATAGTTCATCCAAAGTAAGAGTAAAGTTAGAAGACATCTAGTTCATTAAAGACTACTTATCAGTTTACAGGGTGTGAGTTTCATCCCTTTATTAGGTTAGAGTATTTCTTAAATTGAGAACCACATATTACTGGTATCACAATTACCTGTTCTATAACTTTTAACTTAAAACTTCTAACTCCTGAGTTGGGCATGGTGTGCACACCTGTAGTCCCAGTACTCAGGAGTCAGGGGCAGACAGATCTCTGTGAGATCCAGGCCAGCCTAGCCTACACAGCAAGTTCCAGGGCACCCAGGGCTACAGGGAAACCCTGTCTCAACGAACAAACAAACAAACAAAACAAAACCTAAACCTTCTAATTTTTGGTTCCCATCTATGAATCAGAATTTTGGGGCTAAACCCTGGGAATACACAGTTTCAAAATATTTCTATGCAATTTTTATACACACTGTTGATTTATACACAGTCATTGCCAAACCGGCAGTTTGAAGAATTTTCCCCTACACTTTTGCTTTTGGAGTTTATGGTGATCAATAG